CATTTCTCTTTCTCATTTTAACGACTTCCCTTTGCTGTTTATTTTCTCACTTATTGAGTGAGAAGTTTAGATCATTTGTATTCTGTTCATTCCTTCTTTTCAGTATCCAGTTTGAAGCTCAAAATCTTCTTCCAAAGACAGCTTTAGAGATGCCTAACATTGTTTTCATAAACTAAAATAAGTATCAGGTTTTGAAATATAGTTTTTTGAAGTCATTACTAAATCATAACTTTTATGTCCATTAAAACTAATGCTGAGTTACTCTATCTAGAAAAGCATGTCTCTCTGTGGGAAACATTGAAATATCAACGTTAGCATGCTGTGTGGAGCAGCTGGGGAGTCTCTTCGATCTTGGGGGTACACCTATTGTTTCTAACCTTCCAGTGATTTCCTTTCTGCTCAGGCAATGTTGAAGACAAACAGAAGCACTGTTGGAGGCTTCTTCCTGGCAGGTCGAGCTATGACCTGGTGGCCGGTAAGTGGGTCAGAAGTTTCTGGAGATATACGTTGATTGAAAAGTCGGGGTGGCAGCAGGGGTACCTGCCAACTTGCTTTTTTTTCTATAATAATCCTCCACGTCAGGACTGTGACTTGGGATTGCAGAAAGATTATAACATATAATCAATTGAGAGCTGCTTTAGTCTAGCTGCAGGAGACCTACCTCAGTTCTGTTTCATGTGCCTCTCCTTGGTTCTCACGAAAAAGCTTCTTAGCTTCTATTAGCTCCCTGAATTCCTTTTCTGCTCCCAATCCTGAGCTAACCCTGCTCATCTCTGGGAAATTATCTTCTCTTTCCAGTGTCAGCTTGCTCCCTGATCACTCCAGTCCTGCCTAGAACATCGTGTTCTTTTCTACACATTTACTGATTGCAGGCCATGTTCCCTGTGGTGATGTTGACAGTGATTCTCTTGGGCAGTTGCCCACCAGATATTGTTTCTGAATTTTGGTATATGGCTCCCTCAGACAGATTTTTCATTGTAGTAGAGGCAACTTGTTCCTCTGTGAATCTACAGCGGCAGTGTTGGGTTAGACACACAGTGAGTGCTCAGAAAATGTTCCCTTCAACAGATTGTCTACCTTGTCTAAATACTGTAAACGGAAATGGAATTAACCAATCTGGTGGGGATAGTAGGAACAGATTTACTCCGGGCACACAATCAACCAGACATAACATTCCTTCTGCTCTTTCTGTGAAACATGCAATTCTCAACTAATCCTAGAGCCACAATCCAGCTCCATCCCTCCCTGACTCCAGACACCTTCATGCAAGGAGTGATTGCAAAGAGAGATATAGAACAAAGGCCCTGCAGGATCTCACATTCTCATTCTGTCCTTCAGACTGGCACTGGTCTCTGCCCATTGAAGAGCTCTTTTCATCTTTGACTTTATTGACAGAAATCAGTGTGGTGGAAAATGTAACTAATGGGAACATGGTGCTATGGCTGGGAACAGAGAATTCTCTATGGTGCAACTTTGGAGTCTGTCACTACTTAAGAGTCAAGCACTGGTAGGAGACCTGGAAGTTTGAGGCTCCAAACAGAATGCATAGAGGGATACACTGATGGTTCCATAAGGCGAGGTTCATTGGGGTTTCCTGTAAAAGGCCTAATTGTAAGTATCTTGTGCTTTAAAGGCCAGCGTCTGTTGTGACCTCAGGGAAATGTCACTGTAACACAAAGCACCTGTAATCAGGATGCTGTGGCATATGAGAGTAATAGCTGTATTTCAGCACAAGTATGATGGACACTAAATTTTATATTTCACCTAATTGTAAATTTGTACATCTCACTCTTCAGATGTTTAAAAACCATTTTAAACTATTCACAGTGTGAGAGGTGTTCCTGGCTCATGGGTCACAGAATAACTGGTAACAAAGTTTTTGGCCATGCACAGTCGTTTGCTGCTTTTGCTCTAAGAAGTAGCGACTGACCCATCTCAACACCCACCTGTTTCCATGGGAAAGAATTCAGTCCTTTGACTCTAACTTTAATTAATTTCTTGCCTTGCAGATGGGCGCCTCTCTGTTTGCAAGCAACATTGGCAGTGGCCACTTTGTGGGCCTGGCTGGGACAGGTGCAGCCTCAGGAATTGCTGTTACCGCATTTGAATCACATGTACGTGAAAGCAAATACATTTTTCTCTTTTAAGTCAAATCCATGTCTGGATATTTTCATCCCCAGTTTTCCTGGAAGTCTGTATCAGATTGTACTCTTTTTCTTCTGTTTTTTATTTCAGCTAGTCCACTCTTTGTCTTTGAGCTCTTCTGTAACTTCAATCTTTCACTAAGTAGTTATTCCTACAAGGATTTCATTTCTGTTCAGTTCAGCCACACTTTCCCTTGGTCCCTGTGACTATTAGAGCTCTTACATCTCTTTGCTGATGTCACACTCTATGTTCATTCCTGAAGCAGAAGTAAAGATTAAGTCAAAGAAAACATGTTGGGGAGAGGCTCCAAGGTGAATACACTTGCCACACAAGCAAGGAGACTGAACGTCAGATCCTTAGAACCCAATAGGACACTGAGAAAACATGGCAGCCCACCTGCATTTCCAGTCTTGGTGGTAGAGACAAGGGATTTGACAATTTGGGTAGTGGGAAGAGCTGTATCTGGAGCTTTTGGTTTGATTAAGAGCCTCTGCCTCAAAGAACAAGGTGTAGGAGCAGTTGAAGAGGATTCCCAACGTCAGTCTTGGGCCTCTGAACCTATGTGTGTACCATAGACACACTGGAAGGTTATTAAGTAGCTCAGGCATTTGGGCTGCAATCCCAGCACTAGATGGCAGGGGCAGGGCAAAATAAGGCAGATTTCTGTGAGTTGGAGATCAATCTGGTCTACCTAGTGAGTTCCAGGCCAGCCAGACTATATAATGAGACCCTGTCTCAAAATAAGTAAACAGGGGGCTGGAGAGATGGCTCAGCCATTAAAGGCTAGGCTCACAACCAAAAATATAAAATAAGTAAACAGGTAAATAACAGGCAGATCAATGCCCCCTTCTTGACACAGCTTGTCATCAAGTCGAGCAGACAAGCGTGTTCTAACTACGGTGTGGAAAGCACAGAGTCAGAAGCATTTGCCACATTGAGAGGTCACACCATGTAAATGTTTCCCTGTGCCTTTTTTCCTGGTAGGTTGAACAGTCCCAAGTGGTCAGCATTAAACACATATACATTTCA